ATTTTTTAAAGTTAATTAGGGAAGTTGTAATTGGAATATTGTTATGTTTGATAAAATAATTGAAAACTAGAAAAGGTTAAAAGAAATATGGGAAGTTATTTTGTGGACTATTATATTAAGAGGGAAAATAGGTATATAATTAATTGACTTTTATTAAGATGTTGGAGTGTATTCTTTGGAATAAGATTTAAGGGAATGTATGCTATAAAACAATTAGGTTTATCATGCCTATAAGAAATGAACAATTGTAAAACTATATAATTAATTGGTTTGTATCAAGATGATGGATATTGAAATTAATGATAATGAATTACATTAGGTGAGATTCTAAATTTGAGGGGGATAAATAGAATGAAAGGGAAAATTGAATTCGGTTAAAATTGGAGATTAGGATGAAGGATAAAATTGGTTTTTTTAAAATAGAAAGAATAAATATGATGGCATATATATATATATATATATATATATATATATATATATATATATGTAGGTCTTTGGTTATTCGGGTCTTCTCCCACGCAAAATTGGAAGTGTCTTGGCGACGTTTCGACGAAGTCTCATTCGTCATCTTCAGGCTGGTGTTCTCGGCTTCGTGCTTCCAGGAGCAATGTGAGATCACAGCTGTCTCTTCCTTTTAACTGCTAGTGGGGGTGTGAGCTGATTGGGTGGGAACTTGGCTGTGTTCTGATTGGATGGGGGTGTGTTCTGTTTGGGTGGGGGCTTGGTTGTGCTCAGCTTAGTCTGAGTTGCAGGGGGATTTGAGCTGGTGAGCTGCGTTGTTGTTGTTTGGCTTCATGTTTGTGGCCGTGCGAACTCTTCATGGTGGGTGTCAGTCTGCTTCATGTATGGATTGGAGGGGTTTAAAGTGGCTAATGATGCAGCTGCGGTCTGGCTTCTGGTCCTTGGTCGTGGCTCATTAGTGGTCTCCCCAAGATACACAAAGAAGGAACCCCACTTAGACCCATAGTCAGCTCCATAGGCTCACCTCTACAAAACCTAGCCAAATTTCTCGCCAAACAACTACAGCCCTATGCAGAATCCATCACCTCATACGTAAAAAACTCATTCCAGTTCATTGACATCATAAAGCAACAAAACTTACAGCCCAGTGACCTACTCGTGAGCTTCGATGTCATATCCCTCTTCACCCAAGTACCAATCAAAGAAGCCTTGACAGTTATCCAAAACAAATATAACCCCCCCAAGCACATCTTAGATCTGACCAACCACTGCCTATCCAACACATACTTCATCTATAATGGACAGAAATACAAACAAATAGAAGGAGCACCCATGGGATCACCCCTCTCACCTGTCATTGCCAACCTCTATATGGAATACTTTGAAACCCAAGCTCTAGAAAAATCTGATCACAAACCCAAACTCTGGCTCAGATATGTAGACGACACCTTCATAATCTGGCCACATGGGAAAGAAAAACTGGACAACTTCCTCACACACCTCAACAGCCTACACCCCAAAATACAGTTCACCATGGAAACTGAAGCGAACAACCAACTTCCCTTCCTGGATGTCTTAGTCTACAGAAAATCCAATGGCTCCCTAGGACACACTATCTACCAGAAGAAAACACACAAAAACCGCTATCTGCACGCACTCTCACACCACCACCCTGCCCAGATCAACTCTGTAGCCAAGACACTCATTTCCAGAACAAAACGCTTAGCTGACGAACAACACCTAAAAACCGAACTACACACTCTCACTAACGTACTAACATCCAATGGATTCCAAAGAAATAAGATCACCAACCTAATCCAAAAAGAAACCCCCACTAAAATCCAAGACAGAGAACAAGAAAACGGCAAAGCCCTCCTCCCATACATAAAAGGCACCACAGACAGAATAAGCAAAATCCTCCACAAACATAACATCAAGACAGCATTCTGCACAAACCGAAAAATATCCACCATCCTAAGGAACCCCAAAGACAAAATTGAGTTAGAAAATCAAGGAGTATATGAAATCCCATGCACCGCCTGCCCCACCACATACATCGGACAAACCAACAGACGAATAAGTGCACGCATAGAAGAACACAAGAACTCAGTCAGAAAAGAGGAACCAACTTCTTCCCTGGTCCAACACCTTAAAGCCACAGGACATGATATTGACTTTAAAAAGACCAGAACTATCGCCAAAACTGAACACTTTAACAACAGAATAATCAGAGAAGCCATCGAGATAGAAAAACGCCCACACAGCATGAACAAACGAGACGATACCTCCCGCCTACCAGCCATTTGGAAACCCGCCCTTATTGACAAACGAGTCCCTAACACGACAAATGACACCAGACCCTCACTCACGAGAGCCACACAGGATGTCACCACCACACATCCACGCAGAAAGCAGACTCAAACCCACACTGATAATGAGCCACGACCAAGGACCAGAAGCCAGACCGCGGCTGCATCATTAGCCACTTTAAACCCCTCCAATCCATACAGGAAGCAGACTGACACCCACCATGAAGAGCTCGCACGGCCACAAACATGAAGCCAAACAACAACAACGCAGCTCACCAGCTCAAATCCCCCTGCAACTCAGACTAAGCTGAGCACAACCAAGCCCCCACCCAAACAGAACACACCCCCATCCAATCAGAGCACAGCCAAGCCCCTAACCAATCAGAACACACCTCCACCCAATCAGAACACAGCCAAGTTCCCACCCAATCAGCTCACACCCCCACTAGTAGTTAAAAGGAAGAGACAGCTGCGATTATATATATATATATATATATATATATATATATGTAGGTCTTTGGTTATTCGGGTTTTCTCCCGCGTAAAATTGGAGGTTTCTTGGCGACGTTTCGACGAAGTCTCATTCTGGAGACAGAATAAGCAAAATCCTCCACAAACATAGCATCAAGACAGCATTCTGCACAAACCGAAAAATATCCACCATCCTAAGGAACCCCAAAGACAAAATTGAGTTAGAAAATCAAGGAGTATATGAAATCCCATGCACCGCCTGCCCCACCACATACATCGGACAAACCAACAGACGAATAAGTGCACGCATAGAAGAACACAAGAACTCAGTCAGAAAAGAGGAACCAACTTCTTCCCTGGTCCAACACCTTAAAGCCACAGGACATGATATTGACTTTAAAAAGACCAGAACTATCGCCAAAACTGAACACTTTAACAACAGAATAATCAGAGAAGCCATCGAGATAGAAAAACGCCCACACAGTATGAACAAACGAGACGATACCTCCCGCCTACCAGCCATTTGGAAACCTGCTCTTATTGACAAACGAGTCCCTAACATGATGAATGACACCAGACCCACACTCACGAGAGCCACACAGGATGTCACCACCACACATCCACGCAGAAAGCAGACTCAAACCCACACTGATAATGAGCCACGACCAAGGACCAGAAACCAGACCGCAGCTGCATCATTAGCCACTTTAAACCCCTCCAATCCATACATGAAGCAGACTGACACCCACCATGAAGAGCTCGCACGGCCACAAACACGAAGCCAAACAACAACAACGCAGCTCACCAGCTCAAATCCCCCTGCAACTCAGACTAAGCTGAGCACAACCAAGCCCTCACCCAAACAGAACACAGCCCCAGCCAATCAGAGCACAGCCAAGCCCCTAACCAATCAGAACACACCTCCACCCAATCAGAACACAGCCAAGTTCCCACCCAATCAGCTCACACCTCCACTAGCAGTTAAAAGGAAGAGACAGCTGCGATCTCACATTGCTCCTGGAAGCACGAAGCCGAGAACACCATCCTGAATATGACGAATGAGACTTCGTCGAAACGTCGCCAAGAAACCTCCAATTTTACACGGGAGAAAACCCGAATAACCAAAGACCTACATACAAACACCCGCGAAAACCTCAGAAACCAAATATATATATATATATATATATATAGTACCATTAAACCCTACATCCAGGGTTGAAATCCAGCAGGTTCTGACAGGTTCTGGAGAATTGGTAGCGGAAATTTTGAATAGTTCAGACAACCAGCAAATATCACCTCTGGCTGGCCCCAGAGTGGGGTGGGAATGGGGATTTTGCAGTACCTTCCCCTGGAGTGGAGTGGGAATGGGGATTTTGCAGTATCCTTCCCCTGGAATGGGGTGAGAATGGGGATTTTACAGTATCTTTCCCCAGGAGTGGGGTGGGAATGGAGATTTTGCAGTATCCTTTCCCTGGAGTGGAGTGGGAATGGGGATTTTGCAGTATCCTTCCCCTGGAGTTGGGTGGGAATGGAGATTTTGCAGTATTCTTCCCCTGGAGTGGGGGGGGAATGGAGATTTTGCAGTATCCTTCCCCTGCTGTGAGGAGGGAATGGGGATTTTGCAGTACTCTTCCCCAGGAGTGGGGAGGGAAGGGAGATTTTGCAGTATCTTTCCCTTGCGATGCCCATCAAGCCACGCCCACCAAGCCACACCACACCACACCACGCCCACCAAGCCACGCCCACAGAACCAGTAGTAAAAAAAAAAAATGAATTTCACCCCTGCCTACATCAACAAAGATTTTATTATTTTCTATGTTTGCCCTTGAAGAGAAATGTAAATGAGATCAACAATTAAAAAGTTGCAGTCGGGATTGCCTCCGGAGGACTTTCTGAGGATCTCCTATCTTGGGATGGCACTTGAGTTTTGTTCCAAAGGATATCAGCCTTGAGTATATTCTAAGTTTATTGCATGGTTCCTCATGGGAAATTAAAGGCATATGTCCTTAGAGACTGTCTCCCAAACTTCTGTAGAGAATCAGTAAATTAAAAAAAAAAAAACCTTTCTACATTGCTATCTGCTATAGGTTCTTTAAATATTAAGGAAAATATTTCAGAAGAAAATATATCTTCAATTCTTCCATAATTCTTCCATATCTTCTTCAAATATCCGTTTGCCCTCTTTGACATTTTTCACAAACATCTTGTTTTTCAGAAACATGAAGCATCTTCTTCTGTGGCTCTTAAAAAAACATTGTCCTGATGAACGGATTAGAGATGGAGTGAAGGTATTTGGAGAAGACAAGGCAGATAACGAAGGAAGAACAAGTCAAGGTAAGGACAGAGAGATCTATAGCTCCATAGAAGAAGCAGATGGAACAGGATTCCACTGAAGAAGTAATAAAGAGATCCTAACATATACACGCAACTAACTATCCGTAGAGAGAAACTTTTTGGCTTTCATATTTCTATAGACTTTTATTTACCTATATCTCCATTATCTCCATTTTTAAAATATTTCCATTGGTGGATTCATCAGCTGGCTATGCATGAATCTCATGCTTTCTGTCAGATGCCTTTACAGTCTCATTTCTTGAGAATCTCAAATAATATCTCTTTGCTGCATTCTTTTTTTCCTGTCTCCCTATAATTTGGATTCATTCACCACTTCTAAATTCATTTGCTCTCAACTATAACTATTCTTCTTCTTTTTCATTACGTTTTTCCTATCACATCCCTTAGTTTGTTTTTCAATATTTTACTGCTTTCTTCCAGAATTAACAATATGCATTTACGAATCTGGAAATAACATTTACAAATTTCAGGCATCGCATTAAGCTTTAGTAGTGTTTCTTTGGCTTCAGCCTCATATATTTAGGATTCTAGTTTAGAAGGCATAACTGGTATTCTAATGTTTATAGTAAAATGTGTCATTTAAAATCATAAGTATGGACAACTGTCCTTAACTTGATTTGAAATTCCAATTTTAGAGTATATGGAATAACAGAGTTGGAAGGGAGGTTGGAGGTCTTAGAGTCCAACATCTTGCTTAAGTAGGAGAATCTTTATTATTCCAGACAAATGGCCGGTCCAATCCCTTCTCAAAACCCTCCAGTGAGGAGCACCCACAACTTCTGGAGGCAAGTTTTTCCACTGATCAATTGCTCTTACTGTCAGGAAATTTCTTCCTAGTTCTAGGTTGGATCTCTCCTTGAAAATTGTTACTTCTTGTCCTGTCCTTAAGAGCTTTGGAGAAAAAGTCTGTCCTATCTGTGACAGGATCTCAAATATCGGAAGACTATTATCATGTCACCCTCTCATCCTTCTCTTCATTAGACAAGAAATACCCAGTTTCTGCAACTGTTCATACATTTTTGCCTACAGCCCCTAATCGACTTTGTTGCTCTTATGTTTTCTGAGTTATGTTATAGAATAGAATAGAATAACAGAGTTGGAGGTCTTCTAATCCAACCCCCTTCAGACAAATGGTTATCCAACATCTTCTTAAAAACTTCCAGTGTTGGAGCATTCACAACTTCTGGAGGCATGTTGTTCCACTGGTTAATTGTTAAAACTGTCAGGAAAGTTCTCCTTAGTTCTAAGTTGCTTCTCTCCTTGATTAGTTTCCACCCGTTACTTCTTGTCCTGCCCTCAGGTGCTTTGGAGAATAGCTTGGCTCCCTCTTCTTTGTGGCAGCCCCTGAGATATTGGAACCCTGCTATCATGTCTCCCCTAATCCTTCTTTTCATTAAACTAGACATACCCAGTTCCTGCAACCGTTCTTCATATGTTTTACCCTCCAGTCCCCTAATCATCTTTGTTGCTCTTCTCTGCACTCTTTCTAGTGTCTCAACATCTTTTTTACATCGTATGTTGTTATGTTTTATATTATGTTACTGTTATGTTATATATTATGCTATGTTGTTATGTTATGATGTTACGTTATGCTGTTACGTTACATTTTCTTTTCTGATTTCCAATTACAATAGTGATGTCTGAAAAAAATATCTTTGGAAATGTACTTAAATGTTGTTTTGATTAAGGTTTCATGTTTTCTCTTTTTGTAACAGAAGGGGAACATGAATTTGACCAACTGTACAAGAGTAACTGAATTTATTCTCATTGGGTTGCCAAGAGTAGGGCGAATGGAAGGTGTGATGCATGCAGGCATCTTTCTGCTCTACCTCCTGTGTCTGATGGGCAACGGGCTCATCATTGTGATGGTAATTGTGGACCGACATCTCCAGAAGCCCATGTATATCTTCCTTAGCAACCTTTCTTGCATTGACATTGGACACACCACAACCTTCATTCCTAAATTGCTGGTCAATTATCTCTCTGCAAAGAATTCCATCTGTTTCAACTGCTGCATTGCCCAGCTGTATTTTTACTTCTTTTTTGGGGTCACAGAATATTTCATCATCTCTTTCATATCCTTGGACAGATACTTAGCCATCTGTCATCCTCTGAGGTACGCCACCATCATGACCTCTGAGGTCAGCCTGAAACTAGCAATGGCAGCCTGGTTTGGAAGCTTTTCCTCCATTCTTTATCAGGAAATAGTGGTGGCAAATCTACCTTTCTGTACATCCAACGTTATCAACCATTTCTACTGTGATGTGGGACCTGTGTTGAAGATTGCAGGAGGAGATATTAGAGTCATTGAAGCCCTGGGATTCTTAATTATGGTGATGGTGGTAATGTCCTCCCTGTTCTTCACCATTGTTTCTTACCTCTTCATCATTTGCACCATTCTCCGAATGCCTTCAACCACTAGGCAGCAGAGGGCCTTTTCTACCTGTGCTTCCCATCTGGTTGTTGTCTGCATGTTGTATGGGTCAGTCTGTTTTGTCTATTTAAGACCTACTGTCAAGAACTCTTCCTTCAGTAGGATGAAGATCGTTTCTGTGGTGAACACTATAGTTGTCCCAATGCTTAATCCTTTCATTTACACCATTAGGAACAATGAAGTGAAGGAAGCAGTGTGGAAAGCATTAAGAAAAAAGTCTCTGGCTTTTCCTAAAGTCTAACTATTAAACAGAAGTAAAATGAACATTTTTGGGGGTATATTTCCAAAAAATGGGTTTCAGATAGAAAGTCCATACAGAGAGTGGTGAGGACAGCGGAGAAGATTATAGGAAGCTTGCTTCCTGTTATTCAGGATACTGCTTATAAGCGCTATGTGCTTAGAGCTCAAAGCATTGTTAGAGATGCACACCCCCACCCACTTTATGGTCTGTTTCTGTTGCTCCCCTCTGGGAGCAGGTTTCTAAGTATTTCTAGCAGGACTTTCAGATTCTGTAAAAGCTTTGTTCCATATGTCATCCGTTTGGTAAACTCTCAAGATTCGTTTTTCTCGCTATGAACAGGTATACATCGAAACTAGACTGTGTTGTTTCTCTGTGTCATATAATATACGTATGTGGGTATACAGTATGCATGTATTTATTTATTTAGTCATGTTTATGTAGTGTATATTCAAGGTGGTGACTCTTTGAGAGCTGCAAGCAAAGAAATTTCATTTTAATATATGCCGATTAGTGTATATTCAAAGTGACAATAAAGTTATTTTAAGTTCTAAAGTTCTAAGTTAAAGAACTGGAATTTTCAATACAGCTACGACAATGGGTCAATAAAAAATATTAAATTAGTAACTTCAGATGTGAGATGAAGGCTGATTCATCAGGAAAACTGTATATTGGTGTCCCCAAAGAAATGTATTGAAAGAATAATAAATCAGTTTTCAAATGCTGAATTTTGAGGGCTTTGTAATCCTCATGGTATAGTAATGTGAATATTGCATATCTTTTGGGAACAGGTAAAGGTTCCCCTCAAACATATGTGCTAGTCATTCCTGACTCTAGGGGGCGGTGCTCATCTCCATTTCTAAGCTGAAGAGCCAGAGCTGTCCGAAGATGTCTCTGTGGTTATATGGCTGGCATGACTAAACACCAAAGGCACATGGAGCACTGTTACTTTCCCACCAAAGGTGGTCCCTATTTTTTCTACTTGCATTGTTTACCTGCTTTCGAACTGCTAGGTTGGCAGAGGCTGGGACAAGGAATGGGAGCTCACTCCATTATGTGGCTCTAGGGATTCAAACTGCTGAATTGCCGACCTTCTGATTGACAAACTAAGCATCTTAGCCACTGAACCACCATGTCCCTATATCTGACTGATTACTTGGGTTTATTCTACAGGTCCTTGTAATCTGCATTTTCTATGGGACAATCTATTCTTTAGTCTATTTCAGACCAATTCTCAATTTCTCATCCTTCAGTATGATGAAGACTGTCTCTGTATTGTATGCAGTAGCCTTTACAGTCTCATTTCTTGAGAATCTCAAATAATATCTCTTTGCTGCAAATAATCTTCCATTCTTTCTTTCCTGTCTCCCTATAATTTGGATTCATTCATCACTTCTAAATTCATTTGCTCTCAACGATAACTATCCTTCTTCTTTTTCGTTACGTTTTTCCTATCACATCCCTTAGTTTGTTTTTCAATATTTTACTGCTCTCTTCCTGAATTAACAATATGCATTTACGAATCTGGAAACAACATTTACAAATTTCAGGCATCGCATTAAGCTTTAGTGGTGTTTCTTTGGTTTCAGCCTCATATATTTAGGATTCTAGTTTAGAAGTCATAACTGGTATTCTAATGTTTATAGTAAAATGTGTCATTTAAAATCATAAGTATGGACAACTGTCCTTAACTTGATTTGAAATTCCAATTTTAGAGTATATGGAATAACAGAGTTGGAAGGGAGGTTGGAGGTCTTAGAGTCCAACACCTTGCTTAAGTAGGAGAATCTTTATTATTCCAGACAAATGGTCGGTCCAATCCCTTCTCAAAAACCTCCAGTGAGGAGCACCTACAACTTCTGGAAGCAAGTTTTTCCACTGATCAATTGCTCTTACTGTCAGGAAATTTCTTCCTAGTTCTAGGTTGGATCTCTCCTTGAAAATTGTTACTTCTTGTCCTGTCCTTAAGTGCTTTGGAGAAAAAGTCTATCCTATCTGTGACAGGACCTCAAATATCGGAAGACTATTATCATGTCACCCCCTCATCCTTCTCTTCATTAGACAACAAAGTGGGGGGAGGGGGGAATGGCCTTAGGGCTGCCTCGGGCCATTCCCCCCTCCCCCCGCTTTGTTGGCCTATGTAGGCCTTATCATGGTCACCACCCCAGCCGCCTACTTCCTTGCAAGCCATCTCCTTCTGTCCCCTTCCGTGTACCACTCCCCCCCCCCGTTTGCTATTCTGACTTCTGGACTGGCTCTGTTCCACCTGTGCCCTTGATTGTGTGGAGAATGGACAGATATGCTGTGGACTCTGAGGGAGTCTGGTTTTCGACTGCTGTTTCCCTACCAGAGAGGACAGACTATCGAATCTCTCCATTGCCAACTCCATCTTGGCTAGCCATCGTGAGAGGATGGCCTGGAGGGGCACCCTCTGAGTTTTGTCGAAATGGCACGAGACTTCTCCCACTGTTGTGAGAGGACAGTGGAGTCCAGTTTTACCCACGTCTTGAGTTTGCTGCCACTCCGTTTCCAGGACGTCTTAGACTACTCTATAGAACGCTGGCCAGAAGACATTTCCACCTTTTCTGGTCTTTTGGATGCACTTGACCACCAAACTTCTTGCGCTGCGAGACTTCCCCCTCTTGCAGGTCTGGCCCTCCATGTTATCGAGGGCCTACTTTGATGACGGGCTTTGGAGCCTAGAGAGGTGGTATGCAGCGAAGAGGGGGTTGAGGGGTTTTTTACATAAATTTTTAGCTAAACTTTTAAGGGGCTCCAGGGAGAGGGAGGGCCGAATTAGAATTAGGGCTGTGGGTGTGGGGGACAACCCACCTGGGGAGAGGGGCAGGTCTGGTTGCGAGGCGCAGCATGGGGGGGTGGGAGTTCCGGTATCGAGGAGGGGGTTAGAGCTTATCCAGATGATGTTTTTGCCATCAGTACTGTGGGTGGAGGGGCAGGCGTGGCAGGAGCAGGGGTCCATATGGTGTTGCGGGAGCATGCACTCGCTGTCTTCGAGTGGTGGCGTGCTCCGGCCCCCAAGGCTCTACTTGTTCCCCAGGTTGCAGATCTTCAGGGCCTAGGCCTTCGGCTGATGTTGTGCAACACCACATCTGTTGTAAATAAAGCCCCCCTCATCTGTGATCTTGTTCAGGAGGGGGGAGCAGACCTGGTGGGTATTACAAAGACCTGGTTGGGCCAGGAGAGGGAGGTCCCCCTTGTTGAAATGTGCCCACCAGGTTTCCATGCATTCCCTCACAAGGGAGGGGCGGGGGGTGGCAGTTGTCATTAAAGAAGGTCTTAGACCAAGGGAGGCCATTGTTCCTCAGACTGCCGGATGTGAGTCCCTCCTTGTGAAGTGAGGTCATGGGTTACAGATGGGTTTGCTGATCATGTACCTGGCTCCCTGCCACATGGCAGCAGCCCTGCCTGAGCTACTCAATGTTATAGCTGCGGTGGCAGTTGACACCCCCAGGCTTATGGTCATGGGGATTTTAACTTGCCATCCATGAGTGAGACGTCTGAGGTGGCTCAGGAGTTCATGGCTTCCATGATGGCTATGGACGACCCAACTAATTCATGGCCCTACCCACATGGGGGGAAACATGCTGGACTTTGTTTTTGTCTCTGGACAGTGGTTGAGTGATCTCGAGATAGGGGATATAGTCACCGAGCCCTTGTCATGGTCGGATCACTCTCTCCTTCGCCTTGACCTTTGAACTGCTGCACCTTGCCGCAGGGAGGCAGAGCTGGTAAGATGGTTCCACCCCAGGTACCTGATGGAGCCTGACAGGTTCCAGATGGAACTTGGGCCATTCCCTGAGGCTCTGGCTCACACCTCGACTGGAGACCTAATAGCCACCTGGGACAGGGCGGCCGCTGGAGCTTTGGATCGGGTCGTGCCTTTGTGGCCTCTGACCCGGCGCCGGTCTCACTTGGCCCCTTAGTTTACTGAGGAGCTGAGGGAGATGAAGCACCGAAAAAGATGCCTGGAGAGCAGTTGGAGGGCCAGTCTTTCTGAATCTGACCGAACACTGATAAGATCTCATATTAAGAATTACCTAGTGCAGCAAAGTGTAATTATTTTGCTGCTCTTATTGCATCATCAGAGAACCGCCTGGCCACCCTGTTTAGGGTGACCCACTCCTTGCTCCACCAGGGAGTGCAGGAGTGGAGGGTAGAGCCGAGGACTTTGTACAGTATCTGCATGACAAAAGCACTCAGATTCGGGAAGGTCTGGACTCCAACTGGGTAGTTTCAGGGGGGATGACTGAGGCAGGTCTTGAGAATGTTATCTGGGATGAGTTTGATCTTGTGACCCCTGATGACGTGGACAGGATTCTGGGTAGACTGAACGCGACCACATGTTTGTTGGACCCGTGTCCCTTCTGGTACGTGCTGGCTTCTCGGGAGGTGACACGAGGTTGGCTCCAGGGGATTATAAATGCTTCATTGAGTGAGGGTGACTTCCCCACTGCCTTGAAAGAGGCGGTGGTGAGGCCTCTCCTCAAGAAGCCTTCCCTGGACCTGGCAGTGTTGTCTAATTATTGTCCGGTCTACAACCTTCGCTTTGTGGCGAAGATTGTTGAGAGTGTGGTTGCGCAACAGCTCCCCCAGCACCTGGATGAAACAGTGTATCTGGATCTGTTCCAGTCAGGCTTCAGGGCTGGGTACAGCATGGAAACGGCATTGGTCACATTGGTTGATGATCTCTGGAGGGCTCGGGACAGAGGTTGCTCCTCTGTCCTGGTCCTATTAGATCTCTCAGCAGCTTTTGATACCATTGGCCATGGTATCATGCTGCACTGGTTGGAAGAGTGAGGGGTGGGGGGCACTGTGTTGCAGTGGTTCTTCTCCTTTCTCTCCAACCGTTTGCAGTCTGTGTTGGCAGGGGGGCAGAGGTCGACCCCGAGACGCCTCATATGTGGGGTGCCACAAGGGTCAGTCCTCTTGCCCCTTCTGTTCAACATTTATGTAAAGCCCCTGGGCGAGATCATCCATGGTTTCAGGGTGAAGTACCATCATTACGCTGATGATACTCAGCTGTACATCTCCACCCCAGACCACCCCAACAATGCCCTTGAAGTGATGTCCTGGTGCCTGGAGGCCATGCGGATCTGGATGGGGAGAAACAGGCTCAGGCTCAACCCATCCAAGACCGAGTGGCTGTGGTTTCCAACATCCCAATATAGTCAGTTGGTGCCATCACTGACTATTAGGGGTGAATCGCTGGCCCCCACAGAGAGGGCTCACAACTTGGGTGTCCTCCTAGATTCATGGCTGTCTTTAGAAGAGCATGTGACAGCCGTAACTGGGAGGATTTTTCATCAGGTTCGCCTGATTCGCCAGTTGCGTCCCTTTCTGGATCAGGACTCCTTACGCACGGTCACTCATGCCCTCGTCACTTCCTGCCTGGACTACTGCAACACTCTCTACATGGGGCTCCCCTTGAGGAGCACCCAGAGGCTCCAACTGGCACAGAGTGTGGCTGCACGGGTGGTTATGGGAGCGACATGGCGTTCCCACGTAACACCTCTCCTGCGCAAGCTGCACTGGCTCCCAGTGGTCTTCCGTGTGCGCTTCAATGTCTTGGTTACCACCTTTAGAGCGCTCCATGGCTTAGGACCTGGTTATCTACGGGACCACCTGCTGCCACCAGTAGCCTCTCACCGGCTGGTACGCTCTCATAGAGAGCGGCTCCTCCGGGTGCCATCAGCCAAACAATGT